TTATTTTTTGTTTTTGCTACTTGTTTCACTTGTGTTTCTATCTGTTTTTTAAGAGCAAGACCTAAAAATAATTGGTTTTTGATGTGAGGGGATACTTTTCCCTCCCTACTATCTCTTTCAGCTCTTTTCTCGACGAGGGAGAGCCCGTCGCCACAGAAGATTTCTTTTTCTCTCTATGCAATCATTTTTTATACTTCACGACTTTACGCTCCAATTCTTTAATTTTTTCTGTTTGTTTTTTTACGACGCGGTAGACTTCTGACTTTTTTGCGTCCCCTTTTCTTCTGCGCTGACTCCTCTTCAACACTATTTGTTGGGGTATCTTGAAGCATTTCTTCATTTTATCTCTTCTTCTTTTGCTCTTGTCGCTTCTTCCGCCAGTACTTCCTCATTTGCTGCTGCTCCCTAGGGTTCATGTCCCCTATTCGTTTGACTTTCTTTTCCTCCCTCAATCCCGCCATCCTCTCGCGGTCATATTTTCTTTTAGCTTCTTTCTGCTCTTCGGTTTTTTTCTCTTTCTGCTCCCTCTGCCTCTCAGAGCTTTCCTTTGAAGTTCTGGCCATTTTCCATTCAAGTCCCCCTGAAAAAATAACTTTTGAAGTGACCGCCTAAAAAGCGTATAAGTATTAGCTTATTAGTATAAAAAGCCTAAAATTACTACATAACATTAAGTTTACTAGAGTTGTTAAAAAAAATTACAGTTTTTGTCCTGAAAAGTTTTATTTTCCTTATTATAAGGAGAAATAAGCAATTCTGTTCGTTAAAATAATAATAATAATTTTGCGTCCAAAATTTTAAAAAAATACTATCAAAGTATATTTTTATGTTGAACAATGTAATCTATTGTATAGAGGTTCATCAAGTATTGACTAATGCATTTATTCAAGCAAAGGAAATATGAAATTTAATGGGATCAAATACGATAATAGTTCCCAGTCCAGTCGTTCCCGCACCAGGTCCAGTCGTCCCTTATAGCCGGTCGTTCAATCAGGAACGACTGGTGCGGGAACGACTGGCGGTTTTCGTACATAACCTTGTCTTGCCGCCAAACACTTCAAGTAGGGAGCATAAGAATTTGAGGTTATGTCTTGGACTGGCATTTGCTGTTACGCAACAGAGTTCTTCTTTATTCCTAGCATCGAAGTTTATAATAATGTGAAGGAACGACTGGATGCTTAATTAAGGTACTGTATGATTCTTACCTGTTTATTAATTAATTTGCTGGAAACCGTTGCTCACTTGTACTTCAAATCACTCTCAAAATCAACTTACAACTCAGTACGACTGTCGCCAACCTCAGACGCAGGAAATTCTCCCGCGCTTTTTTTTTATAACCGTTCCCATTTTAGTCGTTTTTGGTATACCGTCCTCCAAGGACTGTCTCAATTACAACAAAAATATGATATTTTGTTGTTTGATCTCTTTGAACTGTCAATTATCTAGAACAGCAGATCGTATTGTCTTCTACAACTGTTTAATTTGTTCAACTGGAGCAGTGTTGAATTGTTTGTTTATACTTTAACATAGTGAGGAGCAGTAAATGACAAGGAACGACTGGTGTTTTACTGTTGAATAAGGCATTTTACATAAAAATAAATAATTATTGTCGTCTTTCTTAAACTATGTTTAATTCAAAGGCATGTGGGGTTAGAAATAAAACAATAGCCTACACTATAGTTAAAAATTATTTTTATTTTTTTTATTTTGGCAAGAAGGACTTAAATTTTATCATTCAGTGAGATTTACCCTTACGCAATTCAAGGTTCTCAAGGAACATTTATTCATCCTATTTCCCCTTATCCCTGTTCTATTTAATGATCACAGTAGGAGGAATACATGGCTTGTTAGGCTGTAAATGTCAAGAGAGTTATATTAAACTATAAATTTTCTAACATTTGTCTGCTGTGAAAGTGAATGTTGTCGATTTGAGATCATTGACTGATGGCCAAGCAATGCCTCAATTGACCTTTTCAAATCATTGCCAACTAACAACAACAGTGGCTAAAATTGTCAACCAAGTATTACTGAACAATTCATTACAGTCAAAGTCAATCATACAATCACATAACTTATTAGCAGTAAACATATTTTAATGTACAATTGCCCAAGATAAAAAAATAATAAATCAGACTATTTTAGGTAAAGTAGGCAAACTTATTTGTGTAGTGTTAATGCATGAACTAAATTACAAAACAAACACTTCGGTACAGGTTTAGTTTATTCAACAACCAAACAGAATCATTTTGCTTGGTCGATGGCTTTTAGCCTAATTTTGTTCAGATAAATTCAGAGTCCAGATTTGAAGTGCAGCCATCAATTATCTGTCTGTTTTATGACTCTCAGATCAAATTTGCTCCTACATTCAGAGTCCTGTTTTACCTAGTCATTCCAATCCATGTATTTTCTTGTTTTGTGCAAACCTCATTTTCCTATCTAGATTTTTCACAAATAATTTGTAAAAAAAATGTCTGAATTGTTCTCTTAGTCTCAATAAAAATGAAGTGTTTAATTAATTAACTCTAACTGTTAGTATAATTAGCCCACACTAAATCCTTCCTTGCTTAGTTTTAGTATAACTTACACTTTACTGCATATTTATCAATCTTCACAATGTATTTTCAACATCCGATATTTATTTAGAGATTTTATTTACATTGGAGACTTATTTAGTTAAAAATTAATTATAAACATTTATTGACAGTGGCTTAGGTTTGAAAAATCCAAAAATATCATTTGTTTTTGCTAAAATTAGTTGTTATTAAATTACAACATCTACATATGTTGTCCCAATGAAACTTGTAATATGGTTTTCCTAAACTTGTTTTTTTGTGCTATCTGTCATAGGTCATAAGTAGAAGTAAGTTTGTTTATGGCTATGCACAAAGGTCAGTCTCAATATGTTATCTGCTCGGTGACGCCCACCGACCATGTGTTATCTTCTCTAGATTACCTCTTTCCCTTCACTGTCGCTCCAGATCAAATCATTACAAAGTTAGTCGAAGAATTTGTACAGCATCAGTCTAAGGATTGAATACATTAATCTAACAGTTTTTTCATCTGTAGTTCCAAAACACGTTATTTAAAATAAATGATATCACCAATCTGGCTGTTTTCTCTCCATTAACTTGTAAACAACCTTAATCATGGATAAGAGGTGGGAGTAACTATGATATTTTATGTGGAAAATCATAAAAGATCCAATTAAGTTTTGAATTCCATTAAGTTTTGAAGGCCATTTTTGAGAAAATTAGATTTTTCCATTATTTCATGGGTTCTTATGTATGGAAAAATCAGAATAAAAATATGAAAATTAACAAAAATTAAAAAATCTTGGAGGTACTATAAATTAGTACCCTTGTACCAAATTAAATCAAAATTGGGACACAGGTGTGGCTTGCAGCTCTCTGAAATTACACATCACACACACAGACATCACTTCGAAAACATCTTTTTTGGGTTCAGGGAGACCCAAAACGGATGTATCAATAACTCAAAACTCAAACTTGAACATTTTTATATAAACAATATTTCCACCGTATACAGTATATAGGGGGAAAAATAAAAAAAAAACTAAACCTAGTTAAAATTTTGAACAATATAATTGTGCTGTACGTAATCTCTTTATAGTTGCGGAATACAGCGAGAGAGTTATTAAAACTATGATTGACAGTAATTCTAGTTGTGCAAATTAGTTGGCACACGTTATTTAACACTAGTAATGTTGTACCGTACTACTGCATATCGAGATAATGGAGAAGACAAGCTTGCGTTACCGTTGCTTAGAAGTGCCTCAAACTAAAAAAGTCATTAATGTAAAGGCAACAACTCTAGACTAACAATCTTTGTTAATTATTTACTGCTTGAATTTTAAAAATAGAGGATGCATATCAGTGTTTTTGAACAATAGTAAATCAAGTTAATTACAGTAGAACCTCTATTAAGTGGATTTAAAAGGGTTTTAAAGAAATTAAACCCTGTACAAGCGTACATATTTATATTTAAATTAATTACACACAATAGTAATATAGAACTGTTATTTTTATGTTGTACTTGTTTAATGTTCGTACAGTAAAATAAAATCACAATTAAAAATAATCTAATAAGTAGTTACTGTAGGGGGATGACGGATACTGTAGGCAATAATAGGATTTTTATTTCTAAGTAATTGGTACATCTTATCTGACCCACGGTGTAAGGACAAGCAGGCAATAAAGAGCTAACAGGATGTGCCCCTCTAATGTGCCTTAACAACTCTAATTGTATAAATCACAACTGAACTCTGCTCTGATTCTTACCTACTTAGGATTCTGATTCCGGTTGTTCACATTCTGTGGCACCATTTTTATTTTCACTGCAATGAAGAATAATATTTATAATAGTCTGGTAACTATCTGTCGATAGATCTAAATTAATTGATATTAATGTTTAAAGTGTTTTTGAATTATTCAAAGTAAATCAGTTTTTAGTAATTTATTGTGTAGTTATAAGAGTTGTGATTTGTATATTGTCAGTTATTAAAAATGAAACCAAAATATTTTGTTATATTACAGGTAGGGCAATACACACTTTCCGTTCAATAACGTCCATTTTAGATGATTGGTGGATAGTGATTCCTATAGAAACTGAAAAAAATATCTGTTCAGGCAAATAAATATTTTAAAAATATGTTCATCTAGTTGTTTGAAAACTTAACATCTTTGGTTGGTAAATATTTAAATGGTTTGGAAAATTCTATCAAATAGAAGAAAGATGATCCACAATTGTTTTGTAATTTGTATGTTTGGTTAAATTAAGATGATTTAAGCGTCGTTATCTATTCTGAGGCCAGAAATTTTGAGCAGTTTGCCTCTGGCCCCCTTATTCCAAAAAAAGTTAAACAACTCCAGCACAACTGTGACTAAAAATAACCACAACTTGTTTACGCAATTTGCGATTATGAGCATACCATATGTGTCCATAATAAAAAATAACCGTCCAATAAATTTGACTTGTTTTTTCAGGTAAAAGCAAAGAAGCGGAAATAAAGAGGATCAATAAAGAATTAGCCAATATTCGGAGCAAATTTAAGGGGGATAAAACTCTTGATGGTTACCAGAAGAAGAAATATGTCTGCAAACTGTTGTTCATCTTCCTCCTTGGCCATGATATTGACTTTGGCCACATGGAAGCTGTCAACTTGTTGTCCTCCAACAAGTACTCTGAGAAACAGATTGTAAGTTAACTTTTATATAAAATAAATACAATCTAGGTATAGCCTATTCTCTCTTAAAAACCAACCCTTACAGCACCGGGTCTAGGTCGTGGCCTGGTAATCAATATCCCAAATTTAGAATTCACATTTGCTAAATCTAGTTACTTTTCACGAATCAGAATAAGTCCATATATATATATTTATTTCTCTGTTCACTATATTATAATTAGATATATTTAATAACATAAAAGCTGGCTGTGATATGCAGCTAAGGTAATATTGTGCACTTTGACAAGGTAGTTAGTTCTATGCAGTAGAGTTGAACAACGACAGGAAATGTGCGTGATTTGGTAGTGGTGAGAGAAAGGTATATATGGCCCAGGTATCTTCATTTACACTCATACTACTCCACATCATCACAAAACTATATTAAATAGCCTACTGCAGAAATAAATCTAGGCCTAATGTTAAAATTATGTAAGCGAAACACTCCGCTGCAAACGCTTAGTTAACGATTCTCTAATATATTTTAGGCCTATCCAAGTAACAATGAAGGCATGGAAAGTGATTGGTTTTGTGACGTAATTGTTTCAATTAACTCTACTGGAGAGACACAATGTTATAATTAACACACACAAAGTTACATTTAATGACGATGATTATTAATACTTCATTTATAATATTAATTATATATAATCATGTTTGCAAATTTATTTGTAAAAATCAGGTTCAAAACAAGATCTAACCTAAACGTTTTAATATTAAGGTATGGATGGAAACGGAAGGCTATAGATTTCTAGAAAAGGTCGGTTAAACAAGCCAATTTTAAAGTTTAGGGCGGAAAAATGTATCTTTATTTTTGCCAGAGTGGTGGTTGTTAATTCGAGCAACAACCACCTCTTTAACTCGAGGGTGGGTAAAGGCAGGTTCCATTGTATACGTTTATATTTGTATAAAAAACTATAATTACACCGATATGATTTCCTTTTTCTGGTACTAATATAGTAGTAGGTACCCTACATTATTTCTTGTTCCATGAGAGTGAGTGCAATGCTTTGTTTGCAGGGATACCTTTTCATTTCTGTTTTGGTCAACACCAACAGTGATCTCATCAAGTTGATAATCCAGAGCATCAAAAACGATCTCACATCAAGGCAAGCCATGTTTTATTTATTCGTTGTATATTTTTAAAGCTAAAAGTATGTGTATTTCTGTGTGAATTATGAAGATAAATGTATGTTCCTTGAGAGTGAGGTAGTCTAGTGGTAGAGCGCATGACTTAGGTCCACAAGGTCCCGGGTTCAAATCCTGCCTAACACTGAAATTTAAAATTTAATCTTGAAGTAATAATACTGCTACCTCTAGGCCTACTCTGTACAATTGTAAAAAATAATCTCGGGCTGGAGCCTTGTAAATAAAAAACTTCTTTTGGTGGCTTCTTCAACTGTTGTGTACCAATTCTAATTTAACCCTTTGAGTTTCGTAGGGGGGGGGGGAATGCAATTTGTTTGAGATTTGCTAGGCATACATGCTTGGAATGCCGGCCTAGAATATAAAAATATCATTGAATATTTTAATAAGTTATGATACTGTACTTTTAAAAACTCTTACTTTAATAATTCATTTAACCTGTAGAAAACTGCTCAGCTAATTCTAACTTGTTGTATTATTTTTAGAAATCCAATCCATGTTAACTTGGCGATGCAGTGCATAGCAAACATCGGGAGCAAAGAGATGGCAGAAGCTTTTGGATACGAAATTCCAAAACTTTTGGTTTCAGGGTGAGTTTGTAAACTAAACATTTCAATAAAAAACATACATTTAAGTAGTTTATATTTTGTGTCTTACAGCTGTAATTAATGCTGTTAATCCATTTGTTTTGCTTTGTTGTTTGAAAATATTGCTGACTTTTATAGATGAGTTGATGTGTTTGATGTTTGTTGTATATGGTATGAAGCAATGCACTCACTCGTGTTGGTACAGAGACACTATGGACGTGGTGAAGCAGTCTGCGGCTCTTTGTCTGCTGAGGCTGTTCCGCACATCACAAGAGATTATCCCCGGCGGAGAGTGGACCTCTCGTATCGTACATCTGCTGAACGACCAACACCTGGGCGTGGTCACTGCAGCTGCGTCTCTCATTGATGCCCTGGTCAAGCGCAACCCAGATGAGTACAAAGGCTGCATCAGTCTGGCCGTCTCTCGTCTGTCCAGGGTAACGTTATCAATAAAAACAACTTTTCGTCATACTGAAAGCAAACCTTTCCGTTTTTAATGCATGCGTTGCAGATCTAAAGTAGTATTTTTAAAAATAATAAAGGTTTAATTTACCTGTTGTGTCGATTGATCCTTAAATTATAAAATAACTACGGCCGTTTTGTGCTGCTAAGCGAGCACCAAACGGCCGTAGTTATTTTAAAACTGAAGGATCAATCGATGCAACAGGTAAATTAAACATTTTATATTTGCATTGTCTTGATCCAGAGGCTAACCCATCATGAAAGCATTTTTACTCTCTAGGGAGTAAAAATCAGTTTTCTCAACAGTTGTAAATTTCGATTGTAAACGATTGTATGTGTCTATTGTTTAATCGATTGTAGTTATTTGTTGCCTTATTGTAAATAGTTTGGCATATTGCTAGTATAATGTACACTAACACAATCGTAATAGACAAAACGATTGAATCACTTACTAATCACTTACTCACGATGTTAGAGCATGCTATACTGGCCCAATATTGTAGTGAGTGCGACTGAGACAGATGTACTATTTTCAAACTATGGAAGGTTGAATGAACCATTTAGTTATGAATATGGAACTATAATTCCATTTAAGAGTAACCTAGGGTTTCTTTCAAATTTTGTTTTTTATGGTTAAATAATTGATTTAATCATGACTAGAACAAACACAGTGGGCGGTAGAGTGATGGTTTGGCGCTATTTGGGGAAACACCACCGTAGCAGGGAAAAAGTTTTGCTCATTTTTTTAGGCTATCATAGAACTAGTGTACGTTGTGCTTCATTTATGGTTTTGCAGTATTTGTTGGTGCATCATTTTTTTCTCTGCATTTGGCCGTACTGAGGGCCTGTTAGTTATTGTTTAGCTGCTATCTGTTGGTTGCTTGTACAATGCTCACAACCACTGGGGCACATTACTTGATATACTGGGAATCTACCATCAGATGAAACAAAATTTAACTAATTTTGCACACCCATCCACTAGAGCATTGACTGTTCCTTCTACTAGCAGTTAGGCTCGGGGGAGCGAGCTGGCGTAGTGGTTAGAGCGCGGGACTTCAGTCTCTGAGGTCCCGGGTTCGATCCCCGCCAAGTCACCAATGGATTTTATCCATGACGATGAGGTGATTTTTTAAGTGATAAAGCCGCAACCCCTAGGTCTAGCCTAAAGTAATGTGAAAAACAATCCCAGGCTCGTGCCTAGCGTCCTAGGACAAAAAAAAAAAAAAAAAAAAACTAGCAGTTAGGCTACTTAGTCTGTGACAACAGAGATGTTAACTTGTTGGTATTGTATGTGTAGATTGTAACGGCCAGCTATACGGATCTCCAAGACTACACTTATTACTTTGTCCCTGCTCCATGGCTTTCAGTTAAACTGCTCAGGCTTCTGCAGAATTATACTCCTCCAGGTAATCTATAAAGGCCTACTGCTTTTAATTATATTTTAAGCTTATTCCTTCAGTGGAGTTTTACCTTACGATTGATATTGGTTATTCTTTAGCCCTTCAGGCATAAGTTTACAATAACACATTGTACCATAATATCATTGATTGTTAGATATTCTACTTAGGAAGAATTTTATTCAATGTCCATTACATTAACAAAAGGTTATTAGTTTCTCACCCATCGATATTTATGAAATTGTAAATTGTTCAGATGATCCTGGTGTGAGAGGGCGCCTAAATGAATGTCTAGAAACAATATTAAACAAGGCTCAAGAGCCACCAAAGTCAAAGAAAGTACAACATTCCAATGCTAAGAACGCAGTTCTGTTTGAGGCCATCAGTCTTATCATTCACAATGATAGGTAAGTCCCAATGATATACATTGCAAGTATTACCAATAAAGTCGTAAACATACTTTTATTTATTTCATACATGAATTGTTTCAACAATGGTAACCAAACAATAAACATTTACACATTTAACGTCAAGACATTTTGCAGCACTGTTAAAAAGCTAATGAAGTGGAAACAAGATGTTTCCAATCATTGCTTTTTTTCCGTCAAATTTTATATCAGCTCTAGACAAGTTAGCAGTATATACAAGTGTTTAGCTTTAACAATCTAATTTTCTCCCTGAAGCTCAGGATGGTTATAGATGCTTAAATATTAAAAGTTAACTGCAGCACAATATACCTAAACAAATTGATTCTGGATTCAGTTCTGTCTCTTGAATACACTTATGATGCTTCACTTTATATTACTACTAGCTGAGTACCCGTCCTTCGTACGGGGTTGGTATACAATGAATGCTTATTGTAGTTAAATACTCGTGCTTGCCATTTGCAATGAGAGAGGAATTGTTTTGAGAAAATTTGGTTTACTATAATCTACGGTATACTATAGTATATAGAACATGTAACATAGCCATAATGTTCTACCACTTCACCTAAACAATAGAAAGAAGTAAAGTTCTCACACTCAGGTTTTTGTTGCTGCTTGGTTCAAATTAGCTGTTGTCATAAATGTATAAAGAACTAATGGTGCTGCACCCTGTTGGTAAACCGTATAACCTTTTAATGCCATTGAATATCATAGAAACAAATTGTGTAGTTGAAACAGCTGGCAAAATTATTTAATTCCTTTTAAATATGAATACTCATAAGGTTAACATAGGAAACTTTAGAGCCGCTAGGGCGGAGTCCGAAAGTAATTTTGAGATAAGAATATGCCTTTATGTAAATCGGGAATGTTAGCTATCATTATGCCAAATTTCAGCCCAATCCGTCCTGTAGTTATTGCGTGATTGAGCAACACACAAACTAACAAACTTTCAAATTTATAATATTAGTAAGATAAGATAAATAGCTTTACACTGGAAGACCAGAAAACATTACTTTGTATGTTTGCAGTGAGCCCAATCTGCTTGTGAGGGCATGTAACCAGTTGGGCCAGTTCTTGTCCAACAGAGAGACTAACCTTCGCTATTTAGCCTTGGAGTCAATGTGTTTATTGGCCAACTCGGAATTCTCTCATGATGCTGTCAAAAAACATCAGGAAGTAGTCATCCTCTCCATGAAGGTACGTCAGTGGGGTTATCATATTTCAGATCTGTAGGCTGTATTTTTTATGGTACTGAACAAATATCTTTATAACAGAGAGTTTTACACAGTCAACTGGAACTGGGAAGATGGGATTTGTAAGTAATAAATAAATATATAACCAAAGTAACTTTCAATGACGGTGAAAACATCAGTGAATTTTATATGAGGCCAAAGTATATTTGCAGTAATCGCCAATAGCCTGTTGGCTGATAGTCCTTTATTAACGAAGGTCTGTTAATTTTATTCCAAAGTCGTCGTGTGTTTTAAGATTATAAAAAAAGAAATTATCACTATGTTTTAGTGATAGCTGTAGAGATGACAGGGTGTATGGAGTTGGCCTTACTCCTAGGACTTGGCTAACAATTCCTAATGTCCATTATTGTGTAGATGGAGAAGGACGTGTCAGTGAGACAACAGGCTGTGGACTTGCTGTATGCCATGTGTGACAAGAGTAATGCCGAAGAGATAGTACAAGAGATGCTCAACTACTTGGAGACAGCCGACTACTCCATCAGAGAGGAAATGGTGAGTGACAGAGGCCAGAATGTCATGTCCAGGCTGTTATAACCATTTATCCTGGTGGCTACGAATAAAATGGGAAAGGGAAAGGAACTATTATGGTTAGGCAAAGTCAGATTTGCCAATCCCAAATATCAGCCGTGTTTTAGTAATTTTGATTATGGGGAGCGAGCTGGTCTAGTGGGAGAGCGGTGGCTTCGGTGCCCGAGGTCCTGGGTTCAAATCCCACCAATCACCAATGGATTTTATCCATGTGATAATGCTGCAAACCTCTAGGAAAAGCCTTAGCTAATGTGTAAAACAGTTCCGGGGTAGAACTAGCGTCTTAGGATGTGAAGGTGGGACATAAAAAATTAGGTTAACAATTAAAATGACCGCCATTTTGAATCCAAAAAAATATTTTTATTGATTTTTTTAAGTTATTTATTTTTTCTTTTTTTGTACATACCGAATTCCACAAAGATATTCTATGGTTGTAATATATTAATTTTAACCACAAAAAACAAAATGGTTTGCATCCTGTTAACTAGACCTTTTTGGAAAAATTATATTCTTGATTTTTTTACCAACATACCTTTTTCCACTAGAGACCCTGTAGAATATAAACAGTTTTTGTAATGTGATGTGTTGATTGACAGGTACTGAAGGTGGCCATCCTAGCAGAGAAGTATGCGACAGACTACACCTGGTATGTGGATGTCATACTCAACCTGATCCGGATAGCTGGAGATTATGTGTCGGAGGAAGTGTGGTACCGAGTTATACAGATAGTCATCAACAGAGACGATGTTCAGGGCTACGCTGCTAAAACTGTCTTTGAGGTACCGTGTATCACCAGTTTGTATCAACAAACACAGACGAGACTCTGTGATGGGAGACTGATATCAATAGTATTTGTGACATTAGGGAGTGGCTACTAATTCAAAATAATGGTTAACACACGAGTCAAACTAAACCTCAAATGTGTTACAATTTACACCAACCATTGACAATCTTGGAATTTAGAGATTCTATTGTCAAATACAAGGGTAGTTTTTTAAGGTAGGGTCGTTTGATAAGATTGCCGTCACGAATTCCTTCTTCTGCATCCATCCCAAAGTTTCCTGTGGGTGTTTAAAGTCTTGCCTTTTCTAACGTACCGATTATTTTCCGCTGGCTGACTCTAAAAACTTGATATCTTTTTCCAAATGTTTAAAAACCTTTAGACAATAATATTTTATGATTTATAGAAATGTGCAAATACTAAAATTAGTTTCACTCTTAGTTCAATAGTTCAATCCATGGGGAGAGTCACATTTAATAAAAAAGGCTCAATATCGATGAAAGTCTGCTGTTAAATCAATCCACAAAAAATCCTTAAAAACCTGGCCTAGAACCATCTTTGCCAAAAAATATATTGGTAAAGTGACAGCAACACATTTTTCTTTTACTGAGCCCTGTAAATATTTTAGTAATAAATGCACAGTTTCAGCATATTTTCTAGGTCTGAAGCAAATTAAAGTAAGGGTGTTTGATTATTTAGCATTACACGTTTATTTCCGAGATAATATATTGAAAAGAGAAATTTTTTTTCAGGCATTACAAGCTCCAGCATGTCATGAAAACATGGTTAAAGTTGGAGGTTATATTTTAGGCGAATTTGGTAATTTGATAGCAGGTGATCAACGGAGCGCACCTATTGTACAGTTTCAACTTCTACATTCCAAGGTTAGTGTTTGAACTTTTCCAGGGTAGTGTGTGACATGTCACATAACGACATAACTAACGAAAATAGTTTTGTAGTTTGGTCTGTCTTGATTGTATACATGGGGGAAGGTCATTATATCAAAGACTATTAACCAGGGTTCCATAATGTCCAAAAAGCAAATATTAAAAAAACTTTCAAAATATTTAAAAATTGAATTTAATTGTTTAATAATGTTTAAGACCATCACCTAGTCCCATAATAACAAGAACCAACGTTTTAGAAAAGTATTATAACATCTGATAAATCTGTACACGTCTTGAAATAACCTTGTGATACTTAGAACAGAGATCTAATGCATCAGTGGTGCCTGTTCTTTAGACATCATAGAACTTCGACATCATGAAAAACTCTTGTACATTACAGTCTTAAATATTATGAAATAAAACCCTATGCATGTTTTATGTCAATTATAATAATTCTACTTGCTCATAAAACTGACCCTCTGACAACTGCATTTTAGTAGACTGAGTTTTTATTTTAGCCTTCATAAATTTTCTTGTTAAATAGACCTTAATTAATTAATTGTTGACTTTAATTAATTGTTTGGAAAATATAAGAACCATGTTACAGTAATAGTAGATTATAGTTGAACACCTGATTGTGAGGTTATTAGACAGCAGATGTTGTTTACAGTACCACCTGTGTTCGCCGATGACACGGGCGTTGCTGCTTTCCACCTACATCAAGTTTGTCAACCTCTTCCCCGAGGTCAAGTCTGTAGTGCAAGACGTGTTCAAGCAGCACAGTAACCTGCGCAGTGCCGACGCAGAACTGCAACAACGGGCGTCAGAATACCTACAGCTCAGCATCATCGCATCCACAGATGTGCTGGTAACTGAGCCTTACTTTACTGCTGGGGCTTCACAAACCTCAATTGATTTTTTGCCTCGTAGATTGACCTGCTGCATTCTTCTCTATCCTCTGCCATCCAGATTTCTCCTCCAATATCAGGAATTATAAACAGCTTTAGAATTCCAAATAAATTTTTAGTTGTTAGCACTAGGGGTGTGCGATTGAAATTTCGATTTGATTCGATTCGATGCATCGAATCGCGATTCAATTCAGCATGCATCGAAATCACGATGCATCGATTTGGCCTCGATGCATCGAAAAAGACCGATGCATCGGTTAGCTCCCGATGCAACGATTACGTCCCGATGCATATTTAAAACTAATTCAGGACTCCAAAATGAGTTTTAGATAGGGAAGTGTCAATTATCGCTACCACCGATACTCGGACATTGCCGATACTAGGAATATCGGTATCAAGAATCGATTGCCAAACATCGATTTCGCCCGATTCCGCCGATACCGACAGCCGACAGGGATGGATAGATATTTTATTTTAACATTTATTTATTTGATATCTATTAGTTTGTAATCACGCTAACAACTTTAGTAACCAACTTAGCACACTATTTAGTTCAAAACAGCTAAAGTTTATTTTCAGCTGTTCTCTCTGCAGGCAGATGATATTGCACAACACAATACAATCTACATTTCAAGATGTCAGACAGTCAGAATTCAGTCTCAGACAACCGGCGCGCGAGTGTCCTCAACACGAAATTATACTAAAAAATGTCTGTATCAATAAGTCAGATCTTTAAATGTATTATTTTTATTTTTAGAACAAAATAAATAACCTAAACTTGTCTAAATGTTCAGTTTCATCCCTGCATTACGCATCATTAGAAAAATTCGATTCAATTACAACATCGAAGTCAGAGGGTTAGGCTTGCACTTGCCTATTGCAACAAAAAGTAGATCCATATTATATCTGTACTATCTACCTAGTTTAAGAGTTTAAGTGAAGTTTTAAGTGCTACTATAACATAAGTTTTGATTGAAAAACACCATACGCATAGTCCATGTCGATTTTGTAATATTGTAATGAATGGTAGGGGTTGACCATCTAAGATAAATCAAAGTATGTAACAAGAGTTCTCATTGGTCGAGAGGCCACGCTGCACTGTCATGTCAGCCAATCGACGTTCGTGTTTCAATGGAGCAAGTGACGATTGCTAAGATACATTGATAAATATCAAGAACCGTTATGTAGGACGTGTTTGTTTGTAAAGAGTATAAAATTAGGTTAAAGTTTAAAACGGTGTGATTTTCTTTTGTCTTACAAAGACCTAGATTTGACAATAAGGTTATAAACGAGTATTGTCGCGTCGTTGTTCCTTGTTTGTTTACTTTTTCAGATTCCCTATCAAACGCCCCTATCTGCTATCTCTCTCTCCCCCCCCCCCCCTCTCTCTCTAACGATGTACTGATTAAACAGATTGTGGTTGACGACTTTTCTACTTAAGATTCCCTGTGGTTATTTTAGTTCAATCAATCCCATAACCTTTCTATCGTTTATCAAAATAATTAATTAATCTGTTTTGTATTTTATTTCCTTTAAACCAACCCCTATTTACCATCTGTATTTTATAGAATAAAATGTTTGTTTATAAATTTTGACTGGCCACACAATTTTGTACCTATTTTATTTTGTATAAAGTAACAGATACTTTGATGATTATATATACAGTATATATATATATATATATATCAATAAGTGCTGCGTGCTGTAATGAATGCTTTTTATTATCAAAATAAGTAATCAATTATAAATTTTTGATAATACATGGGTCATTGAATAGGTACCTTAATGTCATGTAGTTTCCTATTTGTAACTTGCAAATAATAATAATTGATAGTTAATTCTGGAAAATGAAAAATAGTGAACGCATTCATAAACCTGTTGTCAAAACAGCAACGCAGGTGTAAGGGTTTATTGTTTCAGAGGCTAGGGTGTTTCAAGGACAAAGTGTTGGGCCTCCCGGCTTAGGGGGGAGGGGTGGTGGTTAGAGGGGGAGGAAACTGGTTTTGGCTATTTATTGATTAGTTCACCGACCCTTCTAGACAACAAAATTGAGTGACAGTGACAGTGTTAAATCACCGTGTTCTGTATTTAATTTGTTGTTTACTTTGTTTGTTATTCTATTAATTTTAGTGTTTTGTTCTATTTCCTCCTGGTCCCTTGCAAATTGTATTATCAATGCTAAATAATTGTGGTCAATTCAAATTATATTTTTGATTATTCAAATCTCCTACACAAAAAGACAAAAGTCAAACCAGGCAAGGAAAAAACCTGCTATTGTAATCCCCGTACCCAGCCATTTGGGAAGTGGTGAAAGTCTAGTCTAAATATAGCTCAAAGGTCTCACCCTTCCCTTCCCCTACTCAATGTTACTATTCCGCTCATTTTAAGGTCATTGCACAACGCCTGCCTCCCGTCTATTGTTTTGCCTTTATAGTGTTTCTATTCTGACTTTTATAAACATAAATTTATTGCTTACGTAGTTCAGTAGTGAAATTTTCTATTGTGAAACAGTAGGCCTACTTTAAAACAAAATCACTACCGGTCATGTCATTCTATTCTGTGTCAAGTCAGTATACCATTGCCATTGCCAGTCAGTCGCCGGCGACTGCTTTGAGTTGACCTATTCTGTCGTGACAGCTATAAAAATAGGTTAGGACAACTACCTTTGCTTATTTCTATATTGTACTTTACTCAAACTCAAAATCTCGAATATTCGTCCATTTTGTGTTAATAGTATAAATAAAATTGGATCCATTAAAACCGGATCCAGCCCAAGATCCGATTTTTTGTGGATACGATCGGGCGTCGGTCTAGCTCAGATCCGGCGGATCCGGTAGTCCGATATCCGGATCCGACCATCACTATTAGACAGTAAACACTGATAATCAACTTTTTTGGTTCGTGCTGATTTAAGAATGAACCAGAAGTATTGAAAGCCAACAAATATAAATGTGAAAACTAAGTAACAATACTACCGTACGTCATAAAATAAACTCTATTTTATTTAATACAGGTCAATAATAATAAACTTAACGATTGCTTTATTGATATATAGGCTTATTCTAATTGTTAGTGAAGGGTGAATTTCCTTAGGCCAACCATAAAATTAGCAGTGTCCATTAATGAGGTTAGGTCAGCAACTATCCTCTTGTTCATAATTTTATTTAGTACATTTTTTACTTTAACTTTTTTTAAGGTAAAGGATCCATTACAGAAACACATGTTGTATTTAATTTTTGAAGAAAATCATGCCGTGCTGCATCGAATCGAATCGCATCGATTCAAATCGAAATTCTTTGAATCGCATCGATGCATCGAATCGAAAAAAATATGCTGCATCGCACACCCCTAGTTAGCACACTAAGTTAACTGAACAATTATGACATTTTCAATAAAGATGGCCTTAGACCAGGATTTTAAAGGATTTTGTGGAGTCCAGTTATACAGCAAGCTTACCATACTGACAAAAATAAATGGAAATGCACAAAAACACTGATAAACACCAAATCTTTTTAATTGAGAAACCTCACTAACTCAACACCCGGTAACTTGACAGTCGACAGCTGACAGGATGCATGCAAAACAAGTATTTTTTCAAAATGTTTAGTTTTGTTTTAATTGTTGAATATTCAACGTTTCTTTGAAGATTAATCAATATGTAAAAATACTCGTGCAAGTAATAAATTTATTTGTAAAAATTAGTCTGTTATTTTATTAATTTATTATAACCAATTTAAAATTTCAATGTTCTGGATAACTCGACAACTCGTAACTCGGATAACTCGTAAGGTAAGCCTGCTTTTTAATCTCTTTACCAGAAATCCTTAAAATCAGACCACAATTAATTTGATGGACACAACATTTTGCCCCGTTATGTAAATTGTTTTCAAATGCATTGCAATAGCTCTAGAACTGCAATACAGTAGAGTCCCGCAAACCCGGCGTAATGTGGACTGGAAGGGTGCCGAGTTTGCGAAATGCCGGGTTATCGGGAACTAGGGTTAAAAATAAGAACAATACAATTTTTAAGCGTTTTAACCGCCGTTTTTTATTTTTACAGTATTTATATTACAGTATTAAGTCATAAGAAATAAAAAAATGTATTCTGTAGGCCTATACATATTGTACAGTATGTATTACGTACTTTTATAGAAAAGATAAATAAGTACAGTACACACCAGGAAAACTCAGTACAGTTCAAATAAAAACCTAATTCATTTTTTGCAGAAAAAGTTTTTAATGCTCATTTGTTTCTCACACTGAACACTGCGCTTTGCTGCTACATCTCGAAGGCGGCGAAGACACATTATGTCCATTGGCGAAGCTCCTTGCTCCTCAAAATATCGTAAGGCCCCATCAACAGCTTTTAATCCTTCACTGTGGCTCATTTTTTGTACTTCTTGAGTGTCACATGCGTCTTTGTCTTCTGATTCGCTTTCTTCAGGCTGTTCCTTTTCTTTCACCATGGTGACAATTTCGTCATCGGAAAGAGCATTCCCCGTGGCATCTTGGTCCATTCATTCCTGTACATCCCCATCACTGAAGTTTTCACAGCCGGGAATCTTCTTTAATAGATCAACTAAAGCAGAATCTTCCTCCTTTAGGACATCAGTAAACGAATTTCCTGAATGATCCAGAAGTTTTTTCCAGGATCGCACTAATGTTATTTGCTCTAACTCATCCCAAGACTCAGCAACCCATCCAATAACATCCAGCAAATCAACCTTTTTAAGCCTATTCACTAGTTCTTGGCCTTCGTCAATCGCCGTCACTAGAGTTGATAGAAGTTTGCACAAATATCTTTTTTTCATTGCGGCTAGAACACCTTGGTCCATAGGCTGACATAGTGCAGTCACATTTGGCGATAAAAACATCGTTTTTATGTTGCCATCAACTAACTCTTCAGCATCAGGGTGTGAGGAAGCGTTGTCCAGATTCAAAATGGCTTTCCTTTCAAGAT